TGGGGAAGAAATGAAGGTAGTGACAGATTTTATTTTTCTGGGCTCCAAGATCACCTCAGATGGGGACTGCAGCCAAGAAATTAAAAGACGCTTGCTCCTGGGGAGAAAAGCTATGGCAAATCTAGACAGCATACTAAAAAGCAGAGACATCACCCTGCCAACAAAAGTGCATATAGTCCAGGCCATGGTTTTCCCAGTTGCAATGTATGGCTGTGAAAGTTGGACCATAAGAAAGGCTGAGCGCCAAGAATTGAGGCCTTTGAACTATGGTGCTGGAGAAGACTCCTGCGAGTCCCCTGGACTGCAAGGCATTCAAACCGGTCAGTCCTAGAAGAGATCAACCCCGACTGCTCTTTAGAAGGCCAGATCCTGAAGTTGAAACTCAAATACTTGGCCACCTAATGAGAAGGAAGGACTCACTGGAGAAGGGCCTAATGCTGGGAAAGATTGAGGGCAATAGAAGAAGGGGACGACAGAGAATGAGATGGCTGGATGGCGTCACTGAAGGTGTGAACTTAAATGGACTCCAGAAGATGGTAGAGGACAGGAAGACCTGGAGGAACACTGTTCATGGGGTCGCGATGGGTCGGACACGACTTCGCAATTAACAACAACAACAAATTTGAATATTTGATATTCTGCTTCAAACTATATTTGATATTAGTAGTTAATTTCATCTTTTCAGTTAGACAAAACAGCCACATTCTGAGTCACATTCTTATTCTGTTCAGTATGAAACAAAGGATTAACTGACAGGGTTGCTATAAAAAACCTAGCCAATATTATCAGCTTAAGTAAGTTGTGTACACATATATAAAATCCTTTTAAATAGGAATGGGAGTGATTGGGAAATGGGACTAAGAATATACTATTTGGAAAAGGAAATAGGCAAGATTGGAAAAGATAATTACAGACAGGCTTAACAAAAAAGTCTGTGCAACTTGGAAAGAATTGAATAATTGTGCAGTAATTAAAAACAATTCTTTGATCTTTCTCAGAAGAAAAAAAATAAGAAAGCTGATTTTAGTTTAAAAATGAACCTTGATGGCTGAAATACTTTTTACCTGTTAAATTATTTACAGTACTTTTGTTCAAAGGATATAAATACTAACTGGTAATCTAAGGTTCATATCTGCTCAAGAATCAGTAAATAAGACCAAGTTGTTTTACCTGTATGTGTCATATGGTCTGGTACAATGTTGGTCAGGTCAGAACTAAGGATTAAGTTCATGTGTGATAGGTGCAACCTATATTCTAATCTCTTAATCTATTCTCATTTAATAATACAAAACATGTGAGTAAACATATTAACAGTGTCCAACTTTCATTTCCTCATAAACTGAAGATTGCAGACTTTAATAGATTTTAGTAATAGTAGTAAAGTTGGAAGGGACCTTGGAGGTCATCTAGTCCAACCTCCTGCTCAGGCAGGAAACCCTACACCATTTCAGACAAATGGCTGTCCAGTCTCTTCTTAAAAACTTCCAGTGTTGGAGCATTTACTGCTTCTGGAGGCAGGCGGTTCCACTGATTAATTGTTCTCACTGTCAGGAAGTTTCTCCTTAGTTCTAGGTTGCTTCTCTCCTTGATTAGTTTCCACCCGTTGCTTCTTGTCCTGCCTTCAGGTGCTTTGGAAAATAGCTTGATTCCCTCTTCTTTATGGCAGCCCCTGAGATATTGGAATACTACTATCATGTCCCCCCTTGTCCTTCTCTTCGTTAAACTAGACATACCCAATTCTAGCAACCATTCCTTATATGTTTTAGCCTCCAGTCCCCTAATCATCTTTGTTGCTCTTCTCTGTACTATTTTTTTTTAAGAAATACCCGCCATCTCATATATTGTCACACAGAGTTTTCATAGAAATGTATATGTGAGATTATCCATTTCTTTGTTCAGTGAGTTATGCAATGAGAACCTGCTATAACATTGTAATGAAATAGAATTCATTATTTAATTTTATTTACCATGCTTATATAGCAATAGCACTTAAACTTATATACCACTTACAGTGCTTTATAGTCCTCTTTTAAGTGGTTTACAGAGTCATCATATTGCCCCCAACAATCTGGGTCCTCATTTTACCGACCTGGGCAGGATGGAAGACTGAGTCAACCTTGAGCCGTTAAGAATCGAACTGCCAAACTCCTGGCAATTGGCAGTCAGCAGAATTAGCCTACAGTACTGCATTCTAACCACTGCGCCGCCACGGCTCTTTGTTATGGCACTCCAACAAATGATTTCAATTGAATCGTTTATGACCTAAGGCAATGTTCAACTGTTCTTGCCATTAGATGGATTCCTCTGAAGTTCAGCCAAATTCTGATTTTCTGCGATTCCAGTCATTGGTTCTATATTCCGGAACAGCAAATTCTAACTTTTTTGAAAGCTGCTTCCTTTTATAACTGCTGAATATCTGACAAATATGCTACTCCTGTTGACACAAGTTGAAGATGTTAAGAAATGCTTTGTCTATTCAGACTTTTGAAAACAAATCATTATTGTTCCAGCCCTTGATCACTTAAAAATAAGATTTTTTTTTTTTTAAAAAAAGGCTAGGTCATTGAGATGTAAAGAAAAAACACAAAAGAAGGTAGAAGCAGAACACTTCTTTATTGCTGCCAAGAAAAAAACATGGATGGGTTCAAGTGGTCATCATGAATTGAGCAAAGGACTTTACTATCATGTGTATAGATGTAAAAGATGCAGATAATTTGCTACTACTTTTTTTTAAGGGTAGAAATACACACCCTCCCATTATTTTCATTTTCTTTTGTATTTTATATTCTGAAAAACTAATAAAATTTTGAAAACAAAAAACCACAAAATAATAAATCATTCTTTTTATCAAGAGATTTACATCAGGAATACAGAAGGTTCCTTGGGAATAAATGACAATTTAACTCAACTATTTTGGCAGAGGTTTTTTTAATTGATTTTTTATCCTTCATTATCTTTAAGGGAGATACATTATATATGTATATATGCAAATATATGAAAATAAAAAATGACCCTGTTCGCTTATCCTATATAACAAATTTGTGAAATGATGATAATGCAAATGTTATAAATGGGAAAAGACATCACTAAGGCTTAAGACTACCATCTTGCCTGCCTAACTCAATGAATTTACTCATGAGAATAAGTGGGTGGATGAGTGAAGAGGCATATAAAGCATACTGTATGGTGACTTTTTTTCTCAAATGATATATACTTCTATATTGGTGAAAGATTTTAATTTACCAGTATTATCAGTTGACTAACAGATTAATTAATAAGTTTAAGTATTGCTTCCAATATTGTAGCGACAGTTGCACAAAGCAGAAGGAAGGGAAGAAAGAAGGAAAGAAACCAAAGGGAAAAAATATCTAGAGATTAGGAAATCTTCTTTCTGAAGATTTTTGTTTGCATAGTTAATGACTATGAGCATGTTGATTTATAAGCTACAACAAGCCTGAGCAGGGGGTTGTACTAGATGACCTCCAAGGTCCCTTCCAACTTTATTATTATTATGGATCATCGCACAGTCAGCCAGATGTTCAGACTGGATTTGGCATTTTGTCTACCTATCGAGTCCTTACCTAGGACCTGGGATAGGCAGATGGGGATGTTTGATGGTATTACAGGTATCGTCGCAGGATGGAAGCAGTTCCTAGTAAGGCCGCCTTTTGCAATTGACTAATAGCGAATTTGTCAATGCCAATGTTGTTCAAGTGGTGCTCCAGTTGTTTTGGGATTGCACCCAAGGAGCCTATTACTATTGGTACTACCCTTGCTTGCTTTTGCCACAGTCTTTCTATTTCTATTTGTAGGTCTTTGTATTTTGTTATCTTCTCCAGTTCTTTCTCGTCTATTCTGCTGTCTCCAGGCACTGCCACTTCCACTATCCAGACTTTTTTTGTCTTTCTTATCGACAATTGTTAAGTCTGGGGTGTTATGTTGCAGGTGCTTGTCTGTTTGAATTCTGAAGTCCCAGAGCAGTTTAATTTTATCATTTTCTATGACTTTCTCTATTTTATGATCCCACCAGTTTTTGCTTACAGGCAAATGATATTTTTTGCAGATCTTCCAATGCACCATTGTTGCTACTTTGTCATGCCGCTGCTTGTAGTCAGTCTGTGCAATCTTCTTGCAACAACTTACCAGGTGGTCCACTGTTTCTTCAGCTTCTTTGCATAGGCGGCACTTACTGTCTGTTGCTGTCTTCTCAATTTTGACTTTATATGCATTTGTCCTTAAGGCTTGGTCTTGTGCAGCCAGAATTAGTCCCTCAGTCTCTTTCTTCAATTTTCCTGCTCTTAGCCATTGCCAGGTCTTGTTATTATCTACTTTCCCAGCTATTTTTTTTAATGTATTGGCCATGTAATGCTTTGTCTTCCCATGCCTCTATATTCTGTTCTTCATTTGGTCTTTCTTGTAGGCCAGTTTGGTCTCTCCAGTAGTCAGTAAACCTTCCTGATATACTAATTTCAGTGCATCTTCATCATTGTTCTTCAGATATTCTTCCAAAGCCATTTTTTCTTCTTCAACCATCTGATGTACTTGTAGCATTCCACGCCGACCTATTTGCCTTGGCAGATAAAGATTATGATTGTGATTATGATTATGATTATGATTAAGCATTGGCTAAAATTGAGGCTGAACAACCTAATAATCCATCTGATATTTTGGGCTTCAGTTCACATCGGCAAACAAGGTTTGTGCAATAGTCTGGGCCCTTCAACTTAATACATTCCTATTCAAACCAAAAGCCTAACTTATCTATTATTGCATATTTAATAAACTGAACAGTCTTTAAGCAATTGTCAGTGTTCTGTGTGTGTGTGTGTGTGTGTGTGTGTGCGTGTAGTAGGGAGAGAAGAGAACCTGCAGTCTGGTTAATGACTATAAATTTTAACTCCTCACTAACATTATAAGAAAAAGGATATTGATCAAACAGTCTTGTGATTCACAAAATGCAAGAGCTACGTCATTAAGTGTATTGTTTCATTTTCTTTTAGGTTACTCAATACTTCAAGCTATTATGGAAACAGCAGGAGAAAAAAGCTGGCAAGTTAGTGCCATATGTGTGGAGAATTTTAACGATGCAAGCTACAGGCAGCTTTTAGAAGATTTGGACCGAAGACAAGAAAAGAAATTTGTAATAGATTGTGAAATAGAGAGACTTCAGAATCTATTAGAACAGGTAATACTTGCTTTTAATGCAACCAGAAACACATTAGCATTGCTTTAGAAGTTGACTCTCTTTTTGGCATTTATTCTGTCCTGTCTGTCAAGAAGACATTTTCCTCATTTCCACTTTTATATATAATCTGCTAATTAGTATCAACAATTGCCTCCATTTTGAGTATAAATGGGAAATTCCAATAATACAGTGTTTTGATTCACCCAGGAAAATGAATGGAAGCAGTATATTCTAGGGCTTAATGAAATATAATGGTGAAATACCTATTAGCTTAAATGTGGGTGAATATTGGTCACATATAAAGCAGGGACACAATTCTTCAAACAAAGGAGTCTTTAGAGAGCAGGAATGGACTCCCCCTCCCTTCATAAATTCTTTTGATAAATCTCTCTCGCTCACACAAATACATTTATTAACACTAAGATGTTAACTTCTAGAGATGCATACATTTACATTGTCAATACACTTGAGATCTGGTTAAAGAAATGAATCTGCTATTGCCACTGTAAGTTTGGCTTTGGGGGGTGGGAGTGTTGTAGAAGTGTAATAATAGTGTAATACAGTAATAATAGCACCAATATTTGCTTCCAATGAAGATACAAATCAGTATCACTAATAAATCATATTACAATGCTAATTTATTGATAGAACAGATTGCCATAGCAATAGCTTGGAAGACAGTAGTGGGCATATATGCTAACAGTCCCATTGTAATATGCAGTACAAAATTATTGGATTGTTAAATCAGTCCAGACAAACAGTCATACAGAATAACAGAATTGGAAGGGAGCTTGGAGAACAGTTAATATTTTTTTCACTAGTAGTCTCATAGTTTCATTCCACTCAGCCTAGTTTTGGTAAATTGGTTGATTGAAAAGCCACATATACCCAATAATCAGTTACCAGTCTGTCTGAAACACAATCACATTTCATGCAACACAATTCAGCAAGCACAATGTGATCTTACTGTTTCTCTCTCTCTCTCTCTCTCTCTCTGTTATTATCTAATTATTATTATAGTAGAATTCAGTAGTGATCATACCTTTTTTTCTTTTTAAATTTCATTTTCTTTTCCATGTGTATATTTTTCCCATTAGCTATTATTTTTATTAGAAAGCCAGTTTGTTATAATAGTTAAGGGATCAGCTTAGAAACCAGAAGATCATGAGTTCCGTCATACTTTAGGCACAACGCCATATGGATGATGTTGGGCCAGTCACTCTTTCTTAGCCCTAGGAAGGAAGCAATGCCAAACAAGTTCCGAAATCTTGCCAAGAAAATTGCAAGGGCTTGTCCAGCCAGACCAGGAGTGAACACAGACTTAAAGGCATCAAGTATACTGTACATCCATGCATATACATAGGTACATATGGGCAGAAAAATGCATTTTCATTATTTCTTTGCAACACTTTTTCCTAAGTATTCTTCATTAATCAATGACCAGTGAATCTTCACCTTCTGTATGCTAACTGCAACATACAGTACCACAATCTCTATGGTTTGTTTGTTATGAAACACAAATATTTGGAAAGGCTTATAAACTCCATGTATTCATTCATTTAAATTATTTTTTATCCATGTCTTCCTCTAAAAAGGTTCTCAGAGGAGCTAACAAGAAATAATAAAGCTATGTTTGCCTTCAGATTTATCATTTAAAAGACACAACAGGGATTTGGAAGAGAGAAGGAAAATTGTGATTCTGACCTTGCCTGTAGTGATGAAACAAGTCTAGCTGAGGGTCAGTGTAGTCCCATATTACATTTTCAGTCTGATGTTTCAAGAAACTGGACTTAAGTGTTTGTTTATTTATTTAGCATATGGCATATACGTGGACTAGCAATATAAATTGAACATTTCAGCTAGATTAGTGGAACCCAATAAAATATAAACGTCAAAAAGATCTATGTTCAAATATCAATGTCTAGGCCAGCTAACTATTGAACCACAGCATTGTTTATATTTAAAAAATCAGATAGTGGAGTGGTATATGTTCATAGCTTACAGCTGGTCATGATGTGATCTACAGTTTGACATGGGATCCCATAGTCACACTGAGGGGAGGATATTATGCTCCATTTATGCAGACACCATGTGAGGTGCTAATCCTGCTCAGGATTGTCCAGTGCTGACGTGATAGTTCAAAGCCTGACACCTTTTTGTGTGGTCATTTATATGTCTTCCTATAACTGGGCGTTCAGCTACCCATTTGGTTTTACACTTGCAGATGTTGTACAAGTACCAGTAGGGGCTTCCTGGATTTGAGTCTTCCTGCTGATAAATGAGGAAGGTTGGCATGCACTGGTAGGAGTGAGTTGTTCATAATTTTTCTGTATTCTCTCACTCGTGCATCTTGCCTTCGTAAAGCTGGCAGTGGTCTATGGCTCAGAAGCCAGCAAGTAAGAGTGGTTTTAATACATCCTCATGGTGTCATTGAGTATGATATCTAACTTACTAGTATGGCATCTGTTAAGCCATACACAGGGACACAATATTCTGCTGCAGAGTAGATCAACCCTAAGGCTGATGACCTGAGGATGGCGGCTGAAGCTTCCCATTTAGTTCCGCATAATTTCTGGAGTATGTTGCTGCTAGTATTTATTTTTGCCATTGTATTCTCTAGGTATTTCTTGTAGGAGAGAGTCCGGTCCAATGTTACTCCAAGGTACTTTGGATGGGGATCATAGGGGAGTAAATTGTTATTTAAGTAAATATTTCGGGGCTTCATTTAGTTTGTTGTTAAGATGGAAGCACATAGTTGCTGGTGCTAGTCAGTGAAAAATTTTCTCTTAGGATAGGAGGCTGTCAGCCACTTCCATGTGTTTTTCTTGTACTGCTATGGTTATAATTTAAGGGTTATAATCCTTCCTTAGCTTACAATCCGGGGGGGAAAAAAGAGACATCTGAAAGTGAAGCTTCCATTTGCCATTGACAGATTTTTTTTTTTTCTAAGTCACCTAAACTACTGACTTTCAGTGCCTTTTGTGGCAGTGAGTTCACAAATAAATATGCATTATGTAAAAACAAAATTACCCTCTCAATTATATTGCAGATTCTTGGGTGATCCCAGGTTTTAGTCTAGAAGAACGGGACAAGCAAACTATTTCAAGCCATATTTTTTATTATCTTTATATTTTATATAGCCTTTGTGCTGGTACAACAATCTTTTTGGAATACAACAAGTAGAATATTCTAGGGCTTGAGACTTGGCCTTTGAAGGTGAAAAATTTGCTTCCAGGCACATAGGATTGTTATGTAGAAACTGTCAGAAGCTCTTTAAAACAGCTGCATCTTTGATCCAGATGGATTAGCTTAAGGGGCTGCCAGTGCTTTGAAACACCTTCTCCCCTTAAATATGAAGAATGGTATAGCCTAATAATCTTCATGGAGCATCATTCATTTCTATAAGAACATTATGAGTGGCAAGTTTAATTTCAGGCTCTTCCTGGCAGTTCCTAACACGGCCTTTTTCATTGAGTTGACATTTTCAGTAAGTGTTCATCTATGTCCTTCCCTAAATCCATTTCCCCAGCAATCACAGCTAATTCAGACTCAGATATCATGTATATTTTCTTAGAATTCCCTTGGCTTCAGTTTCCATCATTTATTCATTTATTCTCATTTGCCATTTTGTAATTAATCCCTAATTAAGGCTTTTAATAAGTTACTGTGCACTGTAAGTATACCAAATGCAATAAAACAGTTCCAGGCTACTTACTTTCTAAACCAAAGTGATATTACTAATGAGTTTTTTTTTTAAATGAGAAATAGATAAATATGACTCTCATTCATACTTCAAATGGATGATTGTGCCCTTCAGTTTTGCTTCTCCATTTATTTCCTTTATTGATCAATAGTTTTACCTAAGAATAAGTCCCATCAAATTCAGGAGGGCTAATTATACTAACATAGGATTGCAGTGTTATCCCTTTTCAGATGGGGTAGAAGGGAAGGAACATTCAGCACAGGCTGTCATCTTAACTATCAGTTTGATTTCATATCAAACATTTTGGATATTTACAGTCTCTTTCTATTCCTGTAAGCTAAATTAAGAAGGCCAATAGCTTTGTAGTTTTCACTGTTGTTTCATGTATGCTTACTATCCATACATGTTCATCACACAATTCTCTTCCCTGGTCAGCAACATTACAAAAGTTTGCACAAAGCAGAAAAGGAATAAGAAATAGTAAGTCAAAGGAAGTAAGTCATAAGATAAGGAAATATAAAAGGAAATACAGCTACATTTATTTTATACCAAACCATTCACATACTTCCCTATACTTGCAAGTCATCCTTGCCTCCATAAATCCTTTTATACATTGTCATTTAATATTTAAACTATATTTGATTGAATACTTTACCATGTTTCCCTGAAAATAAAGCCAGGTCTTATTTTTTATTTTTATTTTGCCTCCAAAAGAGGCACCAGGTCTTATTTTGAGGGGGTATCTTTTCTACTCACCTCGCAGTGGCAGCACCAACAGCCCTGCTCAGTCGGCCTACTTCTTCTGCAGCCAAAGGAGCAGCTTCATTCTGCAGCTGAGAATGGAGCTCCATAGCTTAGTTCTCAGCTACAGAGGGCTTCCGGAAAGGCCTCTGACTGCGAAGTGCAGGCTGGCGCAGGCCGCAGAAGAAGTGGGACGGTGAGGAGAGGCAGGTGTTGATTCACGGGAGGCCTGGTAAATGGGTGTTGGGCTCATGGGGCAGCTCCATCCCCCCCCACGCTTCATTTTTAGGCATGCACTTCACCCCCAAACTAGGGCTTATTTTGGGGGTAGGGTTTATATTAGGCCTACCCCCAAAATCAAGCTAGGGCTTATTTTCAGGGTAGGTCTTACTTTCGGAAAAACACAGTACATTCATTAAGTTCAGCATAACTTCAATATAACTATAGATAACTTCAATTATTTATATTCATATAAATCATCCTGTAATTCAAATCTCTTCACTTTATCATGCACTTTCTCTAAATCAGCAGATATACAATGATTTATTTTTATTTA